AAAGAGCCAAGAAGGGTCTCCCACTGCTTACTCTTTACCTTCCCCACCCCCAAACTTAGCTTGCACCGGCTCAGGGTTGACTCAGCCTTCCATCCTTCCGAGGTGGGTAAAATGAGGACCCAGATTGTTGGGGGCAATATGCTGACTCTCTGTAAACCGCTTAGAGAGGCCTGAAAGGCCTATGAAGCGGTATATAAGTCTACTGCTATTTTGGAGTTTAGTCATGCCAGCCACATAACCATGTCTTCGGATAGTGCTGGCTTTTCAGCTTTGAAGTGGAGGTGAGCACCGCCCCCTACACTCGGAAATGACTAGCACATATGTGCAAAGGGAACCTTTACCTTTAAAGTATTGCTTGGTATTTGTGATGTTACATAATTAAGTTAATTTTATTTTTAAAAACCACTGCTTATTATGTGGAGGTTATTTTGTTGCACCAAACAGAATGTTTCAAATTGAATGCTCCATATTTCCATTGTTTAAAATAAAACAAAGAATTACAAACTTAACCTTTGTACCTTTGATGTTGCTCTTGCAGCTGGTCTAGAGTTTTTACTTTCTCTAGCAAATTATGAATTTCAGCTTTCTGTCGATTAATAAGTTCTCTGTATTTTGATAACTCATCTTCTGTTCTCAACCGTTCATCTTCTAAACATTTGACCTAATACAGAAACAAAGCCAATTCATCAACATAAATAGCATTTTATATAATATGTTTCATTAGTTTTTCAGGGCATTAAAATATCTTGTTGAACAGACTAGATAATATTCAGCCTACTTTCTCTTTTTTCTCATTTGCTGCTTTCTCTTCCAATAGATTTCAGAACTATTTTGGAAGTTTTCACTTTCATGAAAACTTTCCTCACAGAATAAGTTACCTTGATACATCTCGATTTCTCAAAAAAAGCCAAATGTGAATTGTCAATTATAAGGTGCCTTATTTTAATTAACTATTACTCATAATACAAACATAACACTAAATTACAATTAAACTGAGCAAGAAGTTTTGAATCTCCACAATTTTACAAGAGAAAAAATGGACAACAGTATGAGACCTGGTCATTCTAGAAATGAAAAACTGATTTGACCTGTTAATGAAATGTAATCCTTATAATGACATAGGAAAGAATTCATATTTGGAAAAATGTATGCTACTTTGTTAGGAGGGATTTTTTGTGTGGTTTTAGGCCTCCAAATTGGAAAAAAACCATTCATATTATGAAGTAATTAAATGTGTCAGTGAAGTGGGTCTCAACTTATCCTTAAGCAATAAACAATGGATGGGCGGTTTAGAAAAAATAAATGAATGAACAAATGAAAATCTTGTGGATACTTGTAGAACAGGGGTGTCAAAGTCGTGGCATCATGTTGCTGTCACATGACATATTATGCCTCCCCCCCTTTGCTAAAATGGGATCATGACACATCCAGCCCATGGGTTGCATGTTTGACACTCCTGTTCTAGAAGAAACAAAAGTGTAAAGAAAATAATATCCTGGGCCTTGGCAGAAACTTAAGGTTTATGGTAAGTGATCTCTCATATTGAATAGTGGTGTATGGCTGCAAGAGAATAGGCCCTCTAGTGGTAACCCAGATACTGTCCCCAATAAGGCACCTGAAAAATTTTGTATTTCCAGCACCAGGCAAAGGTACAATTAACACAACAATGTGTTGTATTGCTAACTGCAGTATTTTGCATGTATGTCTTTACTGCATAAACTTTTATTTAAACATTGGATTTCATTTTTAGAAAGGGTTACAAAGTTTTCTGCACTTATCGCCCTAGCCCTTGATTTTAAAGAAAGATGAAGCAGTGAAAGTTCAAATAGAAACAATTAGATCCACATGAGCAGCTGGTAATTCTGTCAAGCTTTTGAACACTGAAATATTTCGCAAAGCTATCAAACTGCTATTAGGGTTTTGAAGACTCTGATGTTCAGGGAAGTCACATTTTTCAACAGAAGAATACGAAATAAAGGTTGCCACAATATGTTTGGACTTCAGCAATAAATGATAATTATATGCAATGCATAAAATTAAATAGCTCATAAAACAGAACATCTTTTCAGTAGCCTAGCATATCATATTTTGCACTATCCCTAACTTTGCTTAAAACACTGACTTTGGAGATGGATTTTGGTTCACTTTTATAATAATCCTTGGATTTAAAATAAAAAAAGCTAAGTGATGCCTTAAATTTATGGCTGTACTATAATTTCAGAAAGAGTTTAATTTTCATAGAAAAATTAACTCTTCCACCTGTGAACTCTAGAAAAAGAAACCTTCAAATCATTGTTTTATATATGCTTTCAAGTTCTAATTTTCAGAAGCAAGCACACTTAAAGGATTAACTATTCAACAAGTATATTTAGACCTTTGCATTGTCAGTTGCCTTTTAATTTGCCAGTCTCCTAATTTTTATTTAATATGCAAATGATAATGCTGAGTTAGGTCATCTCTTGGCACACAGTTAAGTAACATCAATTCACTGAGGACATTCAATGGTACATCTCTGTCTTGAGTTATCCAAGTTTTGCTGTCAAGATTCTTTCCAAGTAGTTTCAGGGCTCTTGATTCTGGCGTCTTTCCATCTCTGACTCTGGATGGCTTGGTCTCTCACAGTTCATGTGCAATTTAGGGCACTAAAAACGTGGCTACACTGAAGTATACTCTTTAAAATATATGTTTTCATGATTATCTACCTACCTACCTACCTACCTACCTACCTACCTANTCATCTTTTTAAGTGGGAGAACTTGCACAATTGGTGGCTAAATACTTTTTTGCCCCACTGTAAGTACATGGTTGAAGAATTGTATTTCCCATTAGCTTGAACACAAGATGTGCAGTATAGAAAAAGTATTCCAAGCCCAATGAAAAATCAAGTTCTTCTGCTTTTATAGTATATGACTGATAATCATCCTCTCATGAACTATTCCTGCTCTTAAAATAAAATGTCGTGATTCCTAATAAAGTGAGGAGAATCTTACAGTAGAAACATTCAATAGATTCACTGCAAAGTAAATAGCTACCATCCAAGAATGCTGGACTCCAGCATACTGTACATTATACATTATATGAATACATCTGGACAGCTCTCAGATCAAGTTAGAGAAAGTTTCTATAGGTTTGAACTCCTCCTTAAAGTGTTGTTCCACTTATTCACGTTAGATAGCACCATCAAAAGTTATTGGAAAAATATTAAATGCTATCTCATCATCCCCAAATGTAGATCTGAAACAAGTACTGTATATTTTTTTTAATTTTACAGAAACATATTTAGTGCCAATCATTTTTACACATGGAATAACTGAAGTGGGAATATTTGAAAATGAATCTTAAAATACTGCAATCCAGATATTAAAAACTAATAGATTTTATAGAAAAGGCTAAAAAATGAATTCATTGGTAAATGAAATAATAAAATAAAACAAATAATAAAATAAAATAAAATAACAAAACAAAACAAGTTGAGGCCGTACTATATTACTTAACTCTCTGGGTTCATACAGCTTAAATTAAGTTGCTGAATGGTTGTACCATATAAAAATATATACATAATGAAAACTTCTTAACCAAGAAGTTTAAATTGGTCCAAAGGAACCTTGTGTCTTAGACATCTATTAAACAAGGAAAAGCATCTCTTTTCCATCACTTGTTGGAGTGACTGAAGCAAATAGCTTCAAAGCATAAGAGCCAGAACCCACAGAGAATGGGAACACACGTTCTTCCACTTCCATTATTTTCTTCTTCTTCTGCACCTTTGTTTTCTTTTAAACAGCAGGTAATTTTTAAACAGCAGATAATCCTAAAACTCTCTACATACTGTTAAAATAATATTTTTCTTTTTAAAAAGGGGGTGGTCATGGGTAAGCATCCACGCTGTATAAGTTCTTTGCGACTTTGTTACCATCTTTTGACTTTTTTTAAAAATCGAGCTGGAAGGGACCCTGGAGGTCTTCTAGTCCAACCCCCTTTCTCAAGCAAGACACCCTAAATTACTTCAGACAAATGGATGTCGAATCTCTTCTTAAAAGACTCCATTGAGGGAGCACCCACAACTTTTGAAGACAAGCTGTTCCCCTCATTAATTGTTCTCAAGAAACTTCTTAGTTCTAGGTTGGTTCTCTCCTTGATTAGTTTCCACCCATTGCTTCTTGTTCTGCCTTCAGGTGCTTTGTAGAATTAGATGTTGGAATACTGTTATTATGTCATCCCAGTCTTTCTTTTTATTAAGCTAGACCAGAAATCTTCAGACTTTTCAGTCTGAAGATCACACTGGACATTTGCAAATATTCAAGGTCTTGGGATGGGGGTGGGGGGGAGGTGGAAATCAATTTTAGAAATGAAAGAATAAAATTTAGCTGAATGCATTTGCATATTAGAGCCGAGGTGGCGCAGTGGTTAAATGCAGCACTGCAGGCTACTTCAGCTGACTGCAGTTCTGCAGTTCGGCTGTTCAAATCTCACCGGCTCAGGNGCGCTTTTGTCGAGCGCGATTTTGTCCTACGTGCTTTTGTGGTGGAACCTGATTTATGAAAGCAAACTCTTCCTTAATTATTCTCACTGATAGGAAGTTTTTTCTTAATTCCAGGCTGCTTCTCTCCTTGATTAGTTTCTTACTATTGTTTCTTGTTCAGACTTCAGGTCCTTTGGAAAATAATTTGACCCCCTTTTTTTTGAACCGACCCTTAAATATTGGAATCCTACTATCGTATCCCCTAGTTCTTCTTTCTCTAGACCAGCCAACGCTATCTGGATCTATTTAAGATATAGCTGCTTTGAGCATTCAACATTTCCAACAATAAGTGAGCAAGTTTAGAGACAACATCAGATGTTAAATCAAGAATATGTGTTTATTCTCTGTGTGATAGATGATGACTGCCCTCCTGGAAATACGTTAGCATGGCTTTCCTGCAAATTATATTTAGCTCCTCTCAAGATGAGCTTTAATATTATTATTAATACTGAATAATATTAAATCTAATTAAAAAAAGAATGAAGTTTTTTTTTAAAAAAAGTGATACTGTCTACAATTGAGTAACTGCAGAAATTGTGCTTCTCTTAGGTGGGACATAAAACTGTATTTTAAGAAAATAATTCGATATTGAGAAAAGATGAACTAATGACGGCACATGACACTGTTATAACTATTTGACACAGGGATCAAGTCTATATTAGATTAAATTCAACATGATATTTTGTATCGTCACATATAAACTGTGATATATGTGTATTATAGGTTATCACCCTCAGTTTCAGACAGAATGATTACCCTTTTTGTATTGCAAGAAAAGGTTTATATGAAAGTGAAATTAGATCATACCTGATATGTTTTTATTATTTCTTGGCAATTCTTTCGTATCTGATCAGTTTCCTCCTTGGCTTGAGTTAACTTTGCTGTTGCCTCTTTAAGGCGATCTTTGGTTTCCTAGAAAATGATTTAGTAATTATTAGCAGTAATTTAAATAAAAACATTGATAAATTAAAATCCGAACAGAAATGATAGCATTCTATTTCAATTCATGGTGGAGCAGAGGGCCCAATGAGAAGCTCCCAAATGTGGTGCATCCAAAGCCATACATGTAGATTTTTTTATTTTCATTGTCGTTCTCTAAGTTCAGAATGTTTAAAGTGACACAGATTAAAAAATAGAAATAAATGCATCGAAAGTAATACGATCAAAGTGCTTAAATTATCTTATTTTCAACTATCTTTATCTTATTTTGAAAGGGCCAAGTAAAGACATAAGATCCCTCAAAAAAGTTGTGTATCCATTCAGTTAACATACAAACTTAAAAATTAAATAAAGGAACTAGACAAGAAATTGCTAGACAAGCAAATGATTTTAAAACCCTCACAGGTCTTTTATAAAATGAAACATACTGACCTTGTGTAAATCCACTTCAGCCTTTAATTTATTTTGAGCCCATTTTACTTTGATCACATAAGAATTGACTTCTTCTTTTAATTTTTCAATATCTCGTGACATTCTGGTGGTTTCATTTTCCTTTATAAAGGATAATTTTAGAATACTGATGTTAATTAAGCCTATGTGGGCTAATAAAAAGTTTAATTTACATTTCTTCAAACAATAAATGTAATCATAATGATTTAACCAAAGAGGAGCATAAAATAATTGGGTTTTCTTGACTTTTAAGCAATCTACCTACCTGCCTGTATTGGGCTACTGGCAATGGAATATTAATCCCTGGGAGGAATTGAATGTACAATGTGATGTGATTAATATTGTAATGTTAATCAACGAATTGTAGAAATGGAAGTGGATGTTGAAGTTACCATATAAATGTTAATTAAACCTTTTGGGCACCAGGGACCGGTTCCCAGGAGAAAGGCTTTTCCACGGACCGTGGTGATGTGGTGGTGGTTTTGCATGCTGCCTAGGCTTCACTTGTTTGCTGGCATGCTGTGGACCGCTGCCAGTCCAAGGACTGAGGATTGGGGACCTCTGAATTAAAGCAGTTCTGCAGATGGCCATTTAGTCTTTACTTGAATATAGCCAATAAGAACAATTTTGCCACCTTTTTCAGTAACTGATGCTAATGTCAAAGCTACTTATGGTATCACATCTGAATTTATTAAAGCATTTGTTATTTTTCTTTTTTTTCCCTCACCTTGATTTTAGTTAACTCCAGTGGGTAATTTTTTTTTTCTATTTTAAGAAAAATAAATCTTACATTGAAAAAAATATTACAAAGGCAGAAGGGGTCTTTCCTTATGCAAATTAGACTTCTGACCAATTAGGCTTTTCCTTTGTTATGAAGCACAAAGACTTTTAACCTCACATATTAACATGCCTTTAAACATAATTTAGACTGCACCAAATTCAAATTTCACCATTTGGGGGCAGCAAATTCCTCACTATACTGAAAAGTGATCAGGAAACAGAAGTATGAAGTAACTCCTTTTTCAACTTCTTGCTCTGCAATACCATAGCATTCCTTGTTTCTTTGTTTTATAGTGAAATAGTTCTAATTCTGTAAAATATTAGTTGCCTGAATAAAATTAGAGGGTCAAGAAACTATCTTATAATAGATATACATGTAAACAACAATAGGGACTTATTGCCAGCAATATTTTATAGGAAGCTAGACTTGGTTCCTTTTTCCATAAATTAAGAAAAATTAAAATACTCAAGAATGTAACAGAGATAGAAATAAACAATTTGAGAATATTATTTATTTCCATAAATCAAGGTAAGCAATATAATATTATGAATGTCAATATGCTTGAAGATTGTGGATATATATCTCTTTTTATACTTGGCTGGCAGCTTGCTGCAATGAATTTTCTGCTCTTCTCCTGAGATTCTTTTAATGACAAATAGGGAGGAAGGTAGGTAGTAAGTATTCTATGGAAAATAGACAGGTAGGTAGGTAGGTGGATAAGTATGCTAGGTAGATGGGTAGGTAAAGAACAGATATAAAGCCAGCATCTTACAAGTTTAGGAAGGCTCAAGTGGTGGATAGCTTAATCCCTTAGCTTTCATTAAAAATATCTCCATGGCCTTGAATTCTGGGTAATCAGTAGTTCTATGGTGGACTATATCAATTCATAGGAATCAGTCTGTTTTTAGGCAAGCTCCTCCATTCATGGTAATTATTTTCTTCAAGTGTACCCAAAAGAATCCAACTCATCACAGATATAGATATAAATATATATGCCGAAACTTTTCTCCTCTGCTTCATTTTATTGTAACTCCTTTCGGCACTTCATGTGCAAGAAATAACTAAATGGTATCATCATTTTTGCCTATTTTTTGGTACTCAAGTTGACTACCAAAAGAACGTCAATGCAAATAGCATACCTTGCTTTCAAATAGTTGGTGCAATCTTGCTTTTTCCTGGGAAAGCTGCTTAATTTTGTTAGTATGCTTTTCAATATCTTTGTTTGCATCTCTCAGTTTTCTTTCAAGGGTCTCCTTCTCCTTCCTGAGGTCTAAGGACTCCTTTTCTCCTCTAACATACTTCATGACCATAGCTTCCTTTTCTTGACGGGCTTCTTCACATTTCTTGTTTGCCTTAAAAAACCAAATATTACAAGTTTACTTTTAGACATGAGAGCAAATATTGTTTTCCCCTAGAATGAAAGTTTTAAAAAAAGCAATTTATTACAAAAAACATAGTTTCCTCCAGAAAATTGAGAGGAACTTATTTTTATTAACTTAGCTGCCAGCAAAGTTAGAATATACCAGGGGTTTCCAACCTGTGGGCTGTTGCCCACTATAGGACAGTGGCCTGTTGGCCACTGGGCATTGTGAAAGGCTGGCTAGTGCAGGCACGTGTGGCACATGCACACAACCCACTCACACTAGGGTTACGTCACGGTCATGGCCCAATTTGTTTCACAGGCACGCTCATGCTCCCATTTGTGATACACGCGCTCCAGCCCCATTTGCATGTGCACATGCATGTGTAAAGGTCCTGCCTCTCCCACCCCGCTACCAACCCAGAAAGGTTGGGGAACTGTGGAATAGAAAACATAAACCTGTAGTGGGGCAAAATGGCTTACATTCTAAGCTAGGAAATTATCACCTGATTAATTACCTGATCTGTGCGAAAGGCCATCTCTTTGTGCAATTGCTGTATAGCATTTTTTGCAGCAGCATCCTGAGATATAAGTTTATCTTTAACCGTTTTAGCTTCTTTCTGGAGGTCTTCTATTCTCACTTCAAGCTATGAAGGGAAAACAAATGCCAGTATGTATAGGTATATGTAAATTACATAATCTGTAAAACTTGAAGAAAGATCTTAAAAACGGACACATTAGAAGTTATAATTTCTCCATTTATATAACTTAGAAAAAAGTTAAACATAATAATTTAAAAACTGGAGACCAACATACCAATTTGTATCTGACAAACTCTGCAGCAATTCTTATTGAGCAATATTTTAAAAAAATAGTTCTGGAAAAGATTGAATATCTACATAGGATCTAGGCTGGAGCAGGTTCAGAAATTTCAGAACCACCAATTGGAAAAAGCAAAGTGTTAACATGGAATTTCGGAAGAGAAAGGAATAAAGCATTTAAATATCATTTTAAACGTGGTCCAGCAAGGCTTGAAAGTGATGAATTGTCACTTCCTTTCCTTTCCTTTTTGAAAACCCTGCTCTGCAATTGAAAAAAAAATCACTGCAATTTAATCCATTAGGGTGAAAAATGGTCTTAAGACTGTGGAAAGACTAAACTAAAGTCTAATTTTCTAAAGATCAATTTAGGATTATAAATAGAAATATACAATGTTTCCTGAGAAAACTTGGATCAGCATAAAACTCTTACCTGTCTAATTATATTGAGATGTTGCTTTTCAGTTTCTGTTCTCTTCTTCAGCTCATCCTTTAAGTTGTCCTTTTCTGAACAAATGTCCAAAATTAGTTCCTGATGTTTCTTGTTTTCCTTAATCAATCTATCCATTAAAACAATTGAAGTAACTGATCAGGCAATGTAAACAGTTGTGAACACAGTCTTCTTGCCAAATTTTAAACTGCTATAAAGACCAAGAAATTTATTTAAGATCTGTGGTGCCCTTCCCCTAAAGCAGTGATGGCGAACCTATGACACGCGTGTCAGTGCTGACACGCGTAGCCATTTGGGGTGACACGCACAGGATTTCATGCGATTCATCCTCGGCTCCTGCACGGCCGCCGAGGATGAAAGAATCTGTGCTGGAGGAACGGGGGGGGCGGGACGTGTGATCTCCCCCGCCCACACTCACTTACTGTATCGCCGCCGCCCCTTTCTGAGCGCAGGGGCTGCTGGTAAGGCGTGCGTGCCGTGCGCACACATGTCATCAGCGCAGCGAGGGAGGACCTGCAGGAGAGGAGCGCGGGAACAATGCGCGCCTCTCTCCAGTCAGGCCGGCATAGAGAGTCTACTACTGGGACTGTCGGTTACGACCGCACCACACTTATCTCAGTTCACGGCAGGGCTGTGGAGTCTGCTGCTTCCAGCTCCACGTCCTCATCAACATGCCGCTCCGGCCCGCCCCCGCTATGAATATTCATATTCTTCGCCCTCGTGTCACTAGGAATATTCATAGCAGGGGCGGGCTGGAGCGGCATGTTGATGAGGACGTGGAGCTGGAAGCAGCCGACTGCACAGCCCTGGTTCACGGCACCCCAAACAAGTTCAATAATATCAAGGGCAACATACGAAATCGACTGATGAACAAAGAAGTTACTAAGCAGGTATGTTAAATAATTTGTTTTTGGTTTATTAAATACAATTATATATTGCAATTATACATTTTTGTAGTTTAAACTATAAATTGCGCAAAATTATATTTTTGTCGAAGTGACACACAACGCGAGTTATGCTCGATTTTTTGCCGATTTTTGACACACCACGCCAAAAAGGTTGCCCATCACTGCCCTAAAGCAATAAAATACAATTAAAGTCCCACAAGTTGAAATGCCTGATAAAAGGCCTGGTAAAGAAGACCTGGCCTCTAAAAACAGAAGCCATAGAGCCAACTGTAACCTTCAAGGAAAAGCATTGTTTGGTTGCATAAATAGCCTTTTTTTAAAAATGAAGTTGCAGGGTATCCATTTAATTGGAACATGTTATATATTTATTTTTCCTTCCTGGAGTTCTAGGTTACCACAATCATTTTTGGCAATCTGAAGATGGTTGTTATGAACTTTTCTCAATTACTCGATTAAAATTGCATTGCTTTATGATGCACTTGGTCCAGAGGTGGGTTGCTGCCGGTTTGTCCCGGATCTGGTGAACCGGTTGTAGCAGCGGTGAGAGGCTCCACCTACCTGCCCGGACGCTTCTATGCATGCACAGAGCGTCACATGCGCAAGCACGCCAAACCAATAGTAACAAAATTGGTAACCCACCACTGACTTGGTATTTCAGGTACATTGTTTCCTCTGTTTATGAGTATGTCTAGGAAGTGTAGTCTGTCACTATTTCTTTCCTTTCTTGTGAATTCAATTCCATGCAAGAGAATTATTAGGCACTCTGACCAATTCACAATTAACAGGCATATAGAAATAAACTACCTTTATTTTTCAAAATTCAAAAGCAACAACAAAAGCTCAAAGGAAGGGCCAGCCGAGCCAGTGCACATCCTCATTAACCAACTCCCAAGATAAGTATGGAACCAGCATCTGATCACCACAAGCACAAGACAATAGCTTGCCAATCAAAGAAGAAGCAATACCGCTGACCCTGTCCAAACCCACAAAAGGTTGGTAATACACCCTGTATCTCTTCTATGTCAGAACGCTGATGATGTTACCTAGCCTGACAACAAAACATCTGTAAGAAGAAAGCCACATTCAGAGAACATTACGAACCCAGTTTAATTACTATCTTCACACCAAAGTTGCTTTGTAGATTTAACCACTTTTAAGAAAACAAACCAAAAACCTAACAAATGCAATGATTAACTTAACAAGTGTGGCATGAAAACTGGAGCGACATCACTTATCAACAGAAATGTTGGGCTCAATTGCAGTTGTAGCTTGAGCATTACCTGTATATTAAAGAAATTGTCTGGTCAGAAAAAGCTAGAAAGTCATATAACCAATCAACACAACCTGGGCATCTAGAACAGCTACATTCAAAGCAAAAGTAATAAGTTGGGAAATTATCGAAACTATTAGGTTAGAAAACTGGGGGGGGGGGGATGAAGCAGGATCCTGCATTGCTTCACAAAAGTTCACGATCCGGGTTGACTTTGGGTTCTACTAATCACATAAGTTTGTTGTTATAGAATGGCTAGTATATATTAAGTATGTAAAAGTAAAAAGTTGAAGCTGTTAAAGTTATGACATTATTTTATGGCACTAAAAAAATCTATTCTTTCTTTTTGCCTGTTAGCCTACATCTCTTTCTTTCCCCATTTTTGCACTATTGTCATTGTCATTTATATTTTATACTTTGATATGTCTAATAAAAAAATTTCAATTAAAAAATGTTCACTGTCTGGGCTCTCCAAAGTGTTTTGGATATAAATAGCAATACATTGATTAATCCAAGAACATTTATTTATATTTAATGAATTTATATACCTACCACTCAATATATGACTCAAGATGGCTAGTCAAATCTAAGATATAAAAATAAATCAATCTTCTTGGATCCAATTACCTTGAAAAATTCATGACGTATACGCTCATAGGGAATCGCAATACTCATTCAGTGTTTCTATTTTAAAATTGCAACCATGTCTAAAAAAATGTACAATCATGAGAGATTTCAGTTGACTTTGTATATGCTACTATGGAACAACAAATGCCCTGTCAACTGACAAGCGATAGGCGAACTGTGTGTTATGTTTTATATTTTGGTTGCTATGCTTTAGCAAGTGTTGTGTTTACTTCTAGGTTTCTACGGTATCAGTTCAACCTTTGGATAAAGGTAATTTCATACTTAAGAATTAGTTATGAAGCTCCGGTGGCCAACTGCAACTTTTCTCTAATATAAAACAGAAGATACAATGGTAACTTTGCAAAGGGCTTCATTTCATGTTAAACTAAATTCTTTCTGGTTATCCCTTTTATTGCAAGTTCATCTTGTATAGCTAATTATCCCTATCTAACCTTAATTCAAGGTTAGTGTAAAAATATACATCCAATATATATTTATGTACTATGTTACACTAACTCTCCCATCCGATGACAATGCATCTTAGTAAGTGCGCTGCATAATTCTAGGCAGTGTGTGATTTTAGATTACAATTTATTTCTTCACCAAGTATTCAGGATCCCATCATAGCAAAGGAAACGCTTGACAATGGAAGGTTCTTCATTTTACTTTTCAATTCAAAGTATCTCATCAGCAAAAACTACACTGAAAAATATGACTAACGCAGAAATTGGGTTGACATTGCCCAATGTTTGCAGATTAATAAGTAACTTGGCCATATTCCCAAAGAGTTACCTTAAGGGATTCCTACATCTCAAAATTTCAAAAATATTTGTCCAACTATAAGTTTAAGTATGATCATATCGTTATGGCTATCCAGACAAAACTTTAAATCTATTACAGACCACACAAATGTTTAAGAGGCAGTATGTAGCTATTCACACAGTACTCACTTCTTTATTGTGTGCTCTTGCTGTAAATATTTATCTTGAATACATTTTTCAAACACAGCCAAGGTAGCCTTGGTATTGCACATTCCGTTTGAAAGTGTAGGATTTTTCAACAACTCTGTTGACAGGAGCTCAGATTCAATTTCTTCTAGCAAAGCCTCCTGAGAGGAAGCATTCTCTAGATTTGAGATAAGGTTCTTAGTGTAATCCGTGTCATATGGGCTCTCTGAACAGACCCCATAAGGTCTTTTCACATGATCTTGAAATAGGTCCGTCAAGGACTGATTTTTGTCCTCCGTTTTCAAAACATGTTGTTCACCTTGTCCACTGGGCAAGCAATCTGCTTCCTTGGATTCTTTTACTTTTAACTCACAGCAGTCTCCATTAAAGTTTGGAGCAGGTTGTGCTTCAATTGCATTTCCATCCTCATTTAAATCAATAGATGATAAGATGGGATCCAGTATTAACTCTTTATTTTCTATGCTTAAAGTGCTTTTTTCACATCTTGCATCTGCAATATGTACATCATCCTGAATATCATAATTTTTGTCAGCTTCTTCAACACTTGGTAAGTTGGAAGATTCATTATCAGTCTCTGATAGGTTAACCATCCTTGGAGTATTATGCTGTTCTGGTAAGTGCTCATCCATCTTTTCACCAAAAATCTAGAAATAAAACAATCCATATTATTATATAAATAAACAAGAGGTACTATAATCCATGTTCTAGGTACAGAATTCTGTTGGTTTTTAAATATTACGGCAGTACTGGAACATTAGTTAGTTCTATTAACTGAAAGACATGAAGATTTTTTTTAACCTTTTAACCTCTTTTCATATCCCATAATCACACATTTCTGACACAATCTAACCTGAAGAATAAAAAAAAACACATTTATTTATGCAAATCATTGGCCAATTAAATAAAGAACCCATATTACCTAGGCCAATCATAATTGTTACATTTTTATATAAATATAGAACCAGGAAACCATCCTGGTGGTGAGAGCAGCACCCACACCCAGATGACTATTTGGATACATGTACAATTTACCTGACTGCTAATTAAGCAATTTATTCTTGCCCAAAAGCCTGTTCATCCACTTCCTATCAACCTATCCACTTCCTTTGCAGGATGGGATATCTGGATCTAGAATTGCTGCTTCAATTTCAGCAAAGGGACCGTGGTGAAGCTCCTAGATAACTGCCTCTCTTTTAACACAGGAGGTGTAGCAATACCCCTGCCAAACCAATGGCTTCAACACTATCCTCTCCTACCTGCCCCAAAGCACTATATCTGTATGTAGGAACCTGAAGGCAGGTCTCTTCAAAGAAGAGTTTCAAGGAAGACCCCAACAAGGTATGTTCTTCGACTTGTGCCAAACATTTAAACCTCCTAAGAATCAAAGTCGAGAGAAAACCCTATTCCAATGCCAAATTTAACCACAAAGAGTTTTAACTTGACTTTTACCTAGCACAGTAGAATATAAAGTAAGCCAAGAAAGAGATAGTTATAAAACAGATTAATATGAAGCTTAGTTTTTTTTTACCACTAAACATTGACTTCCTTGGTTTGTACTGCACACGGTAAAGTTTCAAAGGATAAAACAAAATGTTATACTTATTCACACTGAAAACTCAGAAAACCTTGAATGCGTTATCTACATTTTGATGAGAAACACTATATTTTTATTATTAACAATGAATATGTAAAATAATGCAAAGTGCTAGCATCTTCTCATCTATATATGATTAAACACAACTGGTCTTCCTTGAACCCCAAAACCTGCCTCTTCTCCCTTCTTGTATAAACACATACTTGGGGCTGATACAAGAGGAAAATGTTGAAATCACTGATTTGATAGTTGCCAATGCTGTATCTCCTAAAGTAGACAAAATATATACAGCAAATATGAAATCTCTTTGAACGCTCCATATCTGAGTACCGAACACAGAACCCTTTTCTCCTTTCCTATTTCACAATGTGTTAAAAAGTTTAAAGAACAAAATAAACAGGATGTATTACAGCCAGCTTTGTAATGCTGTAAACAAAACAGGATTGGCTAACACCACAATTTCCTTGCCTTAGATATACGTGGGGCAAAAAAGTATTTAGTCAGCCACCAATTATGCAAGTTCTCCCACTTAAAAAGATGAGAGAGGTAACATCACAGGCAGACGTCAACTATGAGAGACAAAATGAGAAAACAAATCCAGACAATCACATTGTCTGATTTGGAAAGAAATTTTTTGCAAAGTATTTGGTCAATATCAAAAGTTCATCTCAATACTTTGTTATATATTCTTTGTTGGCAATGACAAGGTCAACGTTTTCTGTAAGTCTTCACAAGGTTGGCAAACACTGTTGCTGGTATGTTGGCCCATTCCTCCATGCAGA